TGTTGCAGACAAGGAACAGTGGTTTGATTTCAAAGCAAAAACATGTCACATCTATGCAATTAAAATCTGCACGTTCATGCTGAAAAAATGTGAAATCATTATTGATTTATACTATGAAAAAAATCTCAATTTTCACAGATTCCTGTATGTGTCTTGTTAGATCAGAAATAACCTACTCTTTCCTTAGATTTTTGAAGTTAGCTTATTCATATTCATTGTGAAATAGATGAAAAAATATAAATTGCATTGAGGTTTCTAAAAATCTGTCTTGGGTTTTGAGTTTTAAATATTGGTTTCTTTTAAGAATGTTTTAAATTAGAGTTAGCAGTGCAGTACATTTTTATATTGTACTGCTATGACTTCTGTGACTCAGAGCAATCAACATTGGCAAAGAACACTAGATCATTGAATTTATTGTCTTCTATTTGTTTTTTGTTTTGTTTTGTTCTGTTTTGTATTCTTGGTACCAGGGATCAAACACAACCTCATGTTTGCCAAGCCGGCACTTACGCGGCTGAGCTAAAACCCCCTGTCCTTATATTTGTTTTAACAGCTTTAGAAATTTGAGATGATTCATAGTATTCACATCCATACACTGAACAATTTGGTTACTGCCCCTGTGACCCAGGGTACGTCAGAACACAGATATTTACAATGCATTTTAAACAGTGGAATGAAAGAAGAGAAATAATTTCAATAAATCCATGTTTTGATGGAATAGTGTCTTGATAGAAACTGGCTTTTTCAGCTAAAGCTGAAAATAAAGTTTTAAAATACTGCAATGTGAGATCATTTTATTTTTAAGATTTCAAGTAGATGAAGACTTTTATTCATAAACTTGGAAATCGTTTGAAACGAAACATTTCCAAAGTTTTAACTGGGCAGTATCTCTTAACTTGTGAAACTTCATATGAAAGCTAAAAGTAAAACTACTTGCAGTTTTTAAAATACTGACTTGATTGATCTTTAGTGTACTAGTAGAAAGGTCCTTGGTGGCTATACTGAAAACACTTCCTTTTCTATTTTACTGCTGGTGATGGTGGTACCTGTACTATAAGATTGAACCCAGGGGCTCACATGATAGGCATGTACTCTACCTTTGAGCCATGTGTCTAGTCCTTTTTATTAATTACTTTTCATTCTGAGACAAAGGCTTGTCTAACATCCAAGCTGAGCTCAATTTAGTGATCATCCAGCCTCAGCCACTATAGTACCAGGGTTTACAGCCATGCATCAGCATGTCTAACTAAGATCTTTCTTTCTCTGTCTTTCTTTCTTTTGTGAAATAGCCTTTTTATTTTTAGTCTTTGCTCATAATTTTAAAATGATTTTCCTTAACTGAAGTAATAGAGTAAATTCTGTCTTTCCATCTATAAATGGTTTTCTTTCTTGAGCAAGAATCTTGGCCATTTTGTCACTGGCCAAAGTTGCAAGCTCAAATCTTTTAAAAATTATTAACATATGTTTTTGTTATACAATTAAATTGATTGTGACTAATTTCCTCAATCACTTTTTCACTGGAGCAACTTTTTATTAAAATGGTTTTGTTGGAAATTTCCCGTAATATCATCTACTTTATTATTTCAGTGCTTTTTTTAAAACACAGTTTTTAAATTTTGCACTGCTACAGCAAATTACTATTGCCATTCTTTGTTAAATTTGTGAGTGACGTTCCTTTGAGAGTTTATCTTGATCTTTACATGATTCTGTCTCAGTAGTATGTCTTCTCTTGGAAAAACTTTTCCATTCTTAGTTTTTGAGCTAGAAAAAATTTAATTATAAGTAAAATATTTCAACTTAGTTATCAATTATGATTTACATCTGTATCACTATAATTCATGCTGTCTGTATAATATACCCAAGCAAATAATGCCACATCATTACCTATTAGAAAAGTCATTTGAACTGGGTCAATTCTGTTATCACAGGGCTGGTGATGAACTCCTGTGTAATGTTAGAAATGACAAGTACACCGTGTACCCTGTCATGCACCTTACACAGTGTCCTAACAAAAGCAAAATATTTTGATGAGCCATTTAGCTGTGTTTTATAGAAAAAAGTTTTATACTGTTTCAATTATTTATTGCCTTAAACAAAGAAACTACTTGTCTGTGTGTGTAGGTTAGAAGCTCACTTGTCAATGATTATGAAATTGCTCTCAGACTTCATTTCTCAGATGAACACGAGCATTTGGAGTGGTTTGTGATTTGAATGCTGAGTCCTCTTTTATCCAAACTATATGCATAAATTTATGGAGACAAAATGAAAGTGAAAATTAAAGCAATGAGCAATGCAAGTTTGTTCTTCAATGAATGCTTAGGGTTTACTGAGGTTTAATGCCCAGAGCCCAGGTTTGCAGGGTACACTCTAGCCTCTTGACAGTTATTCTGAGAGAAGGAAAGAATTACACCTTTTCATTAATACAGTACTTTTATGTATTTACCATTAAAACCAATGAGGAATTTATCATCCTTCTAGTGGTACTTTGATCACAGAAAGATGGCTTAGGATGTATAAGGTTACTTTTGCCGTTTGTGGAAAAGTTAGAAATTGACCCTGGGAACTTGGAGAATGTAGTAGAGAAATCCTGATTGATGGTACTGTGGTCCTTAATGAGATGTGTGTTAAATAATTAGACTGGTGGCATTGTAGTTAAGTTTTCTTTTCTTTCTTTTTTTTTTTTTTAACTTTTTACTTATTCATTTAATTACACACAAGTCTTTACAAAAATGTTTGAATCTGAATACCTGTTTCTCCTATACGTTAGGGCTAAGAGTACAAAACCTGACTAATAAAAAAGAAGAGAGACTATTTAAAATCCTTAGAACCAAAAGCAAGTTGGCAATTATCTGGAAGACAGCTAGATGTTCAGCAAGTATTCTGAACATTCTAGTGAGCACACATCACTGAAAGCAGGATGGACAGAACCACCTTCTAAAGGGAATTCCTGGGGCAGAGGACCCATGGAGACAGAAACACTGCTATTCCCACTATCACCAGCCCAGTCCTTCATGTGAGGGCTTCTCAAGATGTCAGGTGATTCTACGAAATCTCAGATCAGGTCAAGAAATTCTGGTTTGTCTGGTTGATCTAAATAATTTAGGGTGGAAAGATAACTTCTCTTAAGAGTTAACTTTGACTTCAGATCTTGAGTGCATCTTGTCTACAATAGTACCAACTGATGCATTAGGACCTTTGTAGAGAAAAATTCCATTATTTCTTTTCTTTCTTGATGGCTGCTTTTTTCCCTCCTCCTTTGGAAGGTTTGCAGTATTTTGCTTCCATCTGAGCCAGAAAACTGTCCATTTCCTTTTGCCGATCCTTTTGTCTGCTCTGAATGAGCGCTTTCAAGTTATCTACTCCTTCATCAAGGCCTAGTTCCTTCCTGCACATTTCTGCTTCTTTAGCTTCTGCCTGGGCCCTTCTTTTCCTTGCATTCATTTTTTGTTTTGATTCTTTGACAAAGGCATTATAGGACGGGACCTCTCCAGTGTCAATAGCCTGCTGGATGATATTCCTTATCCTAGGTTCCTCTGTATACTCCACACACAGCACAGACTCCATGATCTGATTCATATCACCCTTGAAATCCAAATAGGCCTGCTTAATATCAGCCAGCTCTTCCTGGGAACCTTTGTATGTCTTTTCAAAAGCTTGAATGTCATGTAGAGTTATCTTTTTAAACAGTAACCTCCAGTATGCCTCCTAGTCCCGGTCTTGGTTGAGCACAGCACAGTCTTCATCCACTGTCCCCTGCTCATCGTACACCGCTCTCTGCTCCTTGTCACTTAAAACGGCATAGACTCTCCCCAGTATCTGGAAGTGGCGGGGGGCGTTCTCCTTGTCACCCTCTTCCACTTGGTCTGGGTGCACCAAACTCTTGTTCACACAGCTCCAGCAGCCCCATGTTGGGCCGAGGACCCTCTTTGCGGTTCAAAGCTGTAGCAGGGCCAGCGTTGCCCAACTTTCTTTTCCTGTAGTTAAGTTTTCAAAAGCATTCCCCAACATGTTTACTGCTTAATAAAAATTGCAAGCTGTGCTTTCATGTAGGGTTGTTGCACTTGAAAAATCATTTTCCCTCTCCCTTTCCTCATTTTTTATAGGTCAGTTTTGTCTGTCTTTTAAATTTCGTTAGAGATGACCGAATTTTTACTAATTGGTAGGCCTTTAAAGTTCCTTTTGCTCACAGTGGCAATATTATTTCCATTTTTCTTTGGTATTTATAAGTGGTTTTAAGCAAAGCTACATATTTAAAAGAATATCTTAGTGTCAGCCTGTTGTTTTGTTTTAGCTAAAATTGGCCTTATTTCAAGAAAAAAATTGAATGCTAGTACACAGGTTAAAGTTTGTTATGCATCACTCTTTATATTATTTGGTTATTGGCCTGCTAAGACAGTGTCGATTTTTAAAAACACATTAAGCATTTTTCTTCGTAACATTTAGCAAAAACATGGAGCCACTGATTCATCCTTTAGTTCTCTAGGCCTGAGAATATAGATGCATTCCTCCCAACTCATCTGAATTCTATTTTAATCGTTGTGTTTAAAATGTATACCTATTAGTTTTTCTCTTTGAGTATGCCAATAGTTCTCCCCTAAATCCCACATTAATTTGGGTTGAATTCATCAGTTTAAAGTCTTTGGTGTGTAGCTACATGAGAAGATGAGTACTTTTCCTTTTTCCTTTTTCTCCTTGTATTTTGTACCCCTGAGAAGAGTATAACTGTACATACAGCAGTTTATTTCATTTTCAAAGAAGGAACTGAAATGTGAAATGAAAATATGTCCACTTAAAATGTGAAAAGAAGCTAATGCTTATGTGACTTTTTAAAAGGTTCTTTAAAAACATTCCGTTGTGGATTCCAGATCCTCTTTAATCTTACCACCATCAGGAACTGCCTGCAGGGCCATGTGATCATCTTGGCAGTAGGGCCTTTTAGTGATTCCATTTCTGTGGTTTCCTCAAACCTTTACCCGCATTGATTAATATTTTCCTTGCAGTTATCGCTGTGATGATTTTGTGGTTAATGACACCAAGCTGGGGCTGGTACAGAAAGTCAGAGAACACTTACAGAACTTGGAAAAGTAAGTACTAGGTCTTGGGAAAGGGAGGGAGATGGCAGTGGGGTTGAAGAGGCATTTAGAGTTTTTCAATGGGGTCTTGGTTGGTGGTTTCTGTAACTTCATCATGTTTTAATGTGATCGTAAGGTTCATAACTAAGCCTTGGGTGTAAATGTCTGAAACGTTGCCCATATTTCATTTACTATCTTTTTATCTATCATAAACTGTATTCCAAAGCCATATGTCTTGGACGTATTTGGATATACTTTCACAGTACCTTTGATACATCAACTGCCAAAATAATTAGATGGCACCTGATGATATGGAGCGATTTGCAAGAAGAGTTTTGGAGGTACGAAGAAAGGACAGGAAATGATATTTTTATATCGTTACAGGGTTTCCTCTCTTTGGTATTAGAAAACCTCTGGCAGGGGCTGGGGATTTAGCTCAGCGGCATAAGCACCTGCCTTGCAAGCAGGCGGTCGTGAGTTCGATCCCCGGTACCGATAAAAATGAAAAAGCCAAAAAGAAAAAAAAAAAAAAAAAAGAAAACCTCTGGCAAAGGTATTACAAGGACTGTTTAGATTAAGACGTGTTATTTTAAGAAAAATGAGGTTTAAATATGTATTCTTTATTTTGTATCTCTGTGTGTAGGACAAGATCCCCTAGTTCCTTGTTTTCCTTTTTTGTTAGAGGCAGTATAACACAAAAAGCCATGAATGCTTTGAGATCAGAAAGAAATTGAAGAATTTATGTGAACATATATTTCTTGGTGCCAGATAGTTTATTCAGATAAAACTCACAGGACCTGAAATCGAAGTGGTAAATAGAAACCCAGATAGCAGTGCCTTTGAAGCACCAGTGATAGAATCTCGGGCTCGGAATGACTGCTGACTCAAGTGAAATTTCTGTAAATCGCTCCAGATCATCAGGTGACATCTAATTATTTTGGCAGTTGATGTATCGAAGGTACTGTGAAAATATGTCCAAAGCAGGGGTGCTTGGCAAACTTTAAGGCAGCAGGTACCCCAGAATACATACCAAGAGGAAATAGCCTACCTTCAAGTCAATACTGTATAATGTTTGTTAACTGAATCTCTATGCATGCTCTTGCTTTCAATATATTATAAAGCTGATAAGGGAAAACTCTAGATGAAAACAATCTGTGTGTAAGTACTTTTCACTTGTCAGCTTTTGGCTGTTTCTCAAAGTGCTTTTTCCCCTCCTTTTAATTTGAACTGAGCACCATGCACCCCTGGAGGACTAGAGACACATGTACAGATACACAGAACCAAACTATTTAATATTATGTGAAATTGCTCACAATAAAGTGCAGTAGGAGATCCCTGCAATGAATTGCATAGTGTCACTCTTTGGTGTGGTAGTGGTATTGCTTATTGTAGAAATGGGATTACTGCTAGAATACTTCCTTGCCACTTATAGTTTTCTTTGGCAAAAGAGCCATCTCAGTTTGAAGTAAATTAATCAGAACTAAGTTAAAAGGAAAAGGTTTCCCAGAACATACTTGTTTATATTTTTATTTTACCTTATTTTTTGGTACCGGGGATCGAACTTAGGCCCTTGCACTTGCCAGGCAGGCACTTATGCCACTGAGCTAAGTCTCTGGCAACATAACCTGTTTCTAAATAGTTATGAAATGCTTCATTTCCATTGAGTACTCTTTTGGGTACAAGGTGTCACATATGACACATTTCTATTTGGCCTCCCTGAAAAATCTACCTTGAGTTCCATTTCCTGTGTGGAGACTATTGCCTAAATTTATTTTTATATTTTGCAAACCTAGGGCTGGAATCTGAAAACTGATTAATTTGTGCTCATCTGGGCAGCGCTGTCTGGTAGACCTGCCTGGAGCCATGGCTGTGTGCTATGCTCTGCTCTCATGTGGTAACACTACCATGTGGTCTCATGTGGCTGTTGAGCCCTTGAAAAGCCATTAAATGCCACCGAGAAACTAAATTTTTGATCTTTCATTAAGTTTAAGTTTGAATAACCATAGGTACTGAGTAGCTAGCATTACTGTGCATTTAGAAGATTCTGCCATTTCGAGGATCCCTCAGGATAAATTTAGTAACTTCTAAAGGATAAAGCTAAAAATAATTAGGTATTGTTAATAAATCCTGCATGAGGCATGATCGCAAAATACAGTTAATGCTTACATTTCTTTTTGGTAAATTTGAAATGATTATCAAAGACACATTGCCATTAACCCCTCTCAGAGTATTCCCCCTCATCATGAACACACTTACCCTTCGTTCTCACCATTTCTGAAAAGTCCTCTTTTTTGAGTGTATGTAATTGTGTTGATGTGGTTGCTTCAGCGTTCTCAATTGATTCAAAACATTTGTTGTTTGTGACCCACTCGTCAGACAGTGCCCAACCTGGTAAATAAAGTAGACAAGGGCGCACTGTAATGTTCTCGCGAGCCTGCCTTTTTTGGTAGGGTGGCACTAGGTAGCAACATTCCCGTATTTTTAATCAAACTTCAAACACATGAAAGAGGACTTATAAAACTTCAGCAACTGGAAAGAAGGATGGGATAAGTATGTGCAGGTGAACGGACTTGAGCCAGGTGTGGTGGCACATTCCTGAAATCCCAGCGCTGGGGAGGCTGAGGGAGAAACACCACAAGTTTGAGGCCAACAGGAACTACATATGTAGCAAGACAGTCTGAAATAACCAAAAGAAAATGAAGTCTGGGGATTAATGGCAAATGTGTCTTTTCCTAATAATTTTTAAAAATTTAAACACACTTTTTTTTTTTTTTTTTTTTTTTGTGATACTGGGTATCGAACTCATGATCTTGCACTTGCCAGGCAGGTGCTTAGGCTGCTGAGGTAAATTCTTGGCTCTACTTTGTATTTTTTAAATCGGCACTTGTACTGTTATTCAATTTCTGCACTTTTACAAGTTATTTAGGAATAATTTAGCACTGTAACGGAACTGTTATCTTCAATTTATTGTACCCACTGACACTGTGAGAGAGGTGTACAAGGTGTACAAGTAAATAAAGAATATTTTTGAAATTTGAAGCAACTGATCATTGTTAGAATTGATGTTCTAAAGACATTATGGTTCTTGTGGACCTTCTGGAAACAAAAACAATGATGTATTTATTTTGGATTAGCTAGGTACTCTTAGAAGGTAGAAAAGAATTGGCAGACTAACAAGTTTATGTTGTTTAGCCATAGTTTTTGCTTCCTTCATCCGATAATCATAATTCAGACACATAATTTTAAAGTGACCTTTTGAAGCAAGACATCTCTTTAATGAAGAACATTTTTGAATTATTTTAATTCGGAATTTCTAATGTAATTTTGATTTTAGAATATTCTTTGCAGCATAGTTGAAACAAATTAATTTATATATGCTTGTATGGCCATAATTTGTAATTCCTCACACTCAGAGTGTACCTGTAACATATATAAGTGAAACATGGAGCCTTTATCCAAAGTAAGAAACAGCATATTATTTAAATCTCTTTAGATTGCAGAATAGTAGTACAGACGAGACTTTTCCTTCTGTTGTGAAGAATGGGTTTTCTCATTGGCAAAGCTTGCTTCAAATGCTCCAGTAGGTGGCTAGAGCGGAGGAGGGAAGGCACTGTCTCCCAGGCTGTGTTTGTCTGGCTCTGTGTCTGGCGTCCTTGTTGGGGAGAGTTGGGGATTTCCAAGGAAACAAAAATCCCCAGTTACCCTAGGTCTGACAGCTTACTCAGGGACCCAGCTGAACAGCCTGGCAGGGCTCTATGCCAGATCAGTGATGTTGAACCTTTTAGAGCTTTCAAGAGCACACATAGCCTGCTGGGGCACACATGCCGTAAGTTTGCCCCCACTGCCCTGGATGTTGTGGGTGACTTGAATTTATTCTTTTGCCTGCTGTACAGTATGGATATATAAACGTCTTTTTGATTCCCTGTTTTAATAGCTCAGCATTCACAGCTGACAGACATAGGAAGAGAAAATTTTCGGAAAATTCATCATTAAACAGCAAGTTATTAAAAGTAAATGTAAGTAAAATTTATTTAAATATTAGCATAGGAATCTAATCGCTATTTTGTTACAATTGTGACTTTTAATATTGTCTATTATAACTTTTATTAACCTGTGCCTTGGATTTGCCCTTTGTACAAAATATTTGCTCCTCATACTAGTGATTCTTTTTTTTTTTTTTTTTTTTTGGTCTTTTTCCTTTTTATTGGTACCAGGGATCGAACTCACGACCGCCTGCTTGCAAGGCAGGTGCTTATGCCGCTGAGCCAAATCCCCAGCCCCCATACTGGTGATTCTTGATGCAGCCCCAGTGAGCACTCCTCTCATTACTTTCTTCCGTCAGTTACTGCTGTACTCCTCTGCCTTAGAAGCAGGTCCCACCTTTTTTGGGCCACTCCATTTCTGTGGGATCTCAGAGATCCTTGCTTCCTTCTGTTAAAGGTTGCTGGTGCAAGTTCTATAGGTCTGAACCTTTGGTAAGTTTTATTTCTTAGGACTTGTTAATATAATTCTCTCATAGAAAATATACTCTGGTGTTGTAATGTCTGTTGTAATGTGGCATTAACAGATTCACAACATTTAAACATCATGAAATATTTTAAATGAACCAGTGCTTTTGCCTTGAACCTATCTCTTTCTTGCAGTGCTAGCTGTATTTGGGCGGTCTTAATGATCTTTTGAAAAAAAAAGCTAATGTGCTCTTATGGCCATCAGAATTATGGGCAGAGATGCTTTAGGTCAGATTGGTAGATTTACCTTGTTGGTATAGTATTCAGACATTGAGGTACATTTGTACAACTAATCAGAAAACCAAGCCTTAGGCTGTGTATGGTGTGCATACCTGCAATTCGAGTATTCTGGGAGGCTGAATCAGGAGGACTGCAAGTTCCAGACCAACTTAGGCACTTTACTGACTTATGAGATAGTTGCAAAAAATTTTTAAAATGGGTTGGGGATGTAACTCATTGTGAAAGTCAGCCCCCAGTACAAAACAAAACAAAAATGAAGCTTCAGTCTTTAAGAGAAGTTCAGATAGTGTCTTAGTTACTGCTGAGACAAAATACGCAACACCCACAAGTTAAAGGAGGAAAAGTTTTACTTAACTCACAGTTTGTAGAAGTTTCAGTTGATAGCTGGCTCTAAGGTAGAGTGGCAGCAGGGCATTGCAGAGGACAAATGGTCCATCGCAGGGTAGGCAGGCAGCAGTAGGAACAGCAGCAGCAAGCAACGGCAACAGCTCTCTTTCTGCTTCTATATTCCACTCAGTAACAGCCAGGGTGGGGCATCCTTAATCCCAGCATCACAGCCACCTCAGAAAGTCCCACCTATGACCCCGCGTGAGGCTTGGGGTGTGGAGGTGTACATGTAGATTCAAGGCATAACAGGTAGGTTTTCTGGGAATTTTTTTGTTTTTGTTTTTTAGTTGCGGCAAACTAAACTTTATGTAGTTGAAGCTGATCTCAAATTCGCAGTGATCTTCTTGCTTTATGAGTGCTGAAATTCCAGATGTGCACCACCACACCAGGCAGGGCAGATAGTTTTCTAAGGCTCAGATCCATTGCTGGGAAAATGTGTATTGGTATGCATGCAAAGCTTAGTTTTAAAAGTTTGGGGACAAAAATACTGGGGCCTCATGTATAATTTTTCAATTTCTATTAGTTTGAATAGAATCTTATAAAGATATTATCTTAAAGTTCATTCCTCCTGATTTTGTTGGGTTCTCCATGATACTTGTTAATGCTTATTGACTCATAATCTTTCAATTGAAATACTTTCATTTAGAACAATCTTGGGCAGAGAAACTTTTTTTCTAAAAATATTCATACCCTTACAAAGAGACTAACATAGAAAGAGTTTGTTTGACATACCACAGAACAAAAAAAGATGATGTACATCTGTAATCCCAGCAGTCTGAGAGGCTGAGGGAGGATTACAAATTCCCCTACAACCTGAGCAAGATTGCATCCTGTCTCAAAATAAAAAATAAAAGTGCAAAGGCCCTGAACTCAATCCCTATTACTAAAAAGTAAAAGACAAAAAAATACCCACTTCTAGGTTATCAGTCTTGCGGGTTCAAAAAGAGACCTTTGCTTAGTTTTGATGTTTGAGATAGGCAGCCTTCTATTACTGATGGTCACTTGTTCCATTTTACAGGGAAGCACCACTGCCATTTGTGCTACAGGTCTTCGGAATTTGGGCAACACATGTTTCATGAATGCCATCCTTCAGTCACTCAGGTATCACCAGAATCAGAGCTCAAGTATCTGGCAGAAAAGACTCAGGGCAAAGGCTCTGGCCTTTGGCCTCAGATCCAGTATCTGCCAACAAGTGCAGTCTGATGGCCAGGGTTAAGTTATTCCAACTCCTGTGCCTTCATTTCCTCATCAATAAAATTGGGAATAATCATTCCTAACTCAGGATAGGAGGCCAGATTAAATAATATAATTGTTCTAAAGTGCTCAGACCAGCACTGGCCTCTTAGCTGTTATTTCCTTCTCACTGCTTATTGAATAGGCTAGAGAGGGGGATCCACAGACTTTTATTATAAAAGGCAGGCTCTTTATAGTTTTTTTAGCCATGTGTGTGTCTCCTAGGTTTTTTTCCCCTCTACCTTTTTATTTTTAAAGACAGACTTTTAACGGTATAAATTTCACTGTAAAGAGATCAAAGCTCCCTGGCCCAGGGCTAGAGACCATCTGTGGGCTGGAGTTGCAGCCCTGGGCTACAGCCATCCTGGTCGAGATAGCTTATTTCAGTCAGTGTGATCAAGATCACGTTTCTGAGATGTTCAAAATGAAAGACAAACAGTACAAATTAAGTATCCAGCAAAGTAAACCTCAGTAGAAGAAATTATTTTAGATTTCAGTGAGGCATCAAAGGCCAGGGGGAATTCTCTTCCCCAAATTGTATTGCTAATAAGGAGCAGAGCTATAGTTGATGTTTCCTTCAAGGTGCTGCTGCTTGTTTACCTGTTCATCCTCAAAGAAAAAAATATTGCTGCCCTTAAAATCTCCTTACAATTCTGTGTAGAATATCTAAATACAATGGCTGGCTTTTTTTTTTTTAACTTGAGGAAATTATTGAATATACAGTGGTCCTTTGATTCACAAACTGAATTCATTAACAGTTCTAGGAATTCTGCATCAGGTGACCATCTGGTTGTGTTTGCCACCTGATGCAGAATTCCTACACAAAAACAAAACTGCCAAATGATCTTCCTGAGCGCCAAACTATTCACCAGACAGAGGCCCCACCGTGTAGAATCGAGCACCCTGCAAAGAGAGGTGGTGACGGTCTGTAGGTAGAGGGGAAACTGGAGAGATTTTTTTTTTGAGGAGAGATTTTAAGTTCTTTGTTCATTTTTAAAAGGTTGTCTGTTTTTCAGAGTGAACTAAGAGCTGTAGTATGGAAGAAATTCAGTACAGGAGACTAAATCGAGTATAATTTAAATTGAGAGTTGAAAAATCATAGTTGAAACCCATATGTAATTTTCACAGGCCTTTGTTTATAGTCCTATTAAATTGTTTTCTCTCTCTCTTTTTTTAAACTATTTTCTTCCCTCTAAAATAGTAACATTGAACAGTTTTGCTGTTATTTCAAAGAACTGCCCGCGGTGGAGTTGAGGAATGGGAAAACGGCAGGAAGGAGAACGTACCACACTAGGAGCCAAGGGGACAGCAGCGTGTGAGTGACCAGAGTGTTCCAGCCCGGGCTGCAGAGGGGATCTGTGCTGCACTGTTAGGGTTTCAGTGTCTGGCTGCGTTCTGGGTACTCGCCAGAACCCTTTTATTTCTGCTGACAGAACAGCAAGGGTAGATTTAGAGCCTGCCTATGGAGCCTGCAGCTTTGCATTTTCTAAATGAGCACGTATCTGCAGCTGAGTTCCAGGGGCAGGTGGAAATGAGTGCCATTAGTTCATGTGAAGCTCCGGGTCTCCCAGCGTCAGGTAGACCTGTCTTGGCGAATGAAATTAATTTGTAGTCAGAAAATTAATTTTAGAGCAGTACAGTCCATGTTTAGTTGATATGAAGAAGGGAAAAAACAGGCAAGTAATCACTGAGGACTAACCCTATATTCAGATTGATTGCAGCAGCCTCCCCCTGAGTAGGGTTCAAAAGATCTGCCATATCCTCATGATGATAGGGTGCATATGTTTGTTTTTTTTTCTGGAACAGGGCTGTGATTTACAGCCTGTCTGTATTTAATGTCTGATCCGCATTCCATCTCCATGCCCCCAGCCTCAATAGCCGCTCATCCCACACTGTTCCCCAGACCTTGCCTCAGTGGCCAAGTGAGGGTGTGCCACCACTGGTCGCAGTGGGGCCCAGGCATTGGCACAGTTGTGGAGCGCTCTTGTGGGAGTGGCACGGGAAGGGTAGCAGCATGCAGGGTGAGCTGTAACTTCGGTCGGCTGGGGTTGGGAGATGGCAGCAGCCTGAGGTGGGCAGAGTCTGTGCACAGTGCATTGGTGTCAGTCAGAGTTCAGGTACAGGCTACGGTCATCCCTGATGGCTGATTCAGACAACAGGAATCTGCTGAAGGGCTGTTGTGAGCCAGCCACTGCCGGGGTGGGGTGGGGGCACAGAAGTCAGGGATGGCCACCCTCACCCTGTACCGTCCCATCAGACACTGCTGCCTTGGTGTAGTACTGCGGACGTGGGGGCAGTGACTGCCACTGAGTCTGCTTTCTCTAGACCTTTAAAGGGTGGTCACTGCTGCAACTACTGCCAGAGAGATAGGGAACTGTCCATACACCCTGCTTCAAGTTGGCGGAGGAATCCAGGCGGCAGACCTCTGCTGGGGCTGCTAGGGAGGCTGGATTGGCAGCCCTTTGAGCTGGTGGGGTGGGAGGCGGGTGGGCTCTGAGTCTCTGGCCAGGACCTGGCAGTTGGTGAGTGCCCAGACGTGGGCAGTGACTAGGTTACAGGGGTGAGAAAGAGCCAGGCTCTCCGAAGTATCTGCCAATCAAGTAACCATGCCTAAGTGAGTAAATCAAGAGATAGAATAAATCAGAAGTTGAAGTTGAGCTGGTCAGTTTACCTATTTGTGTAGCAAACCAAATTTAATGGTGACGTGAACATCTGTGGTTTATCTTCTGTGAAGACAGGACATTGTCCAGGACTGTCATGTGAAATCATAAGGCTCCTGGCTTCTGTTCATTGCCCTAAACTGGGTGCTCCTCATGGGCTCAGATGGTGGCCGAGCACCACTATCACATCCTCATTCTAGGTTGGGGAGATAAAGGAAGGGATTAAGAAGAAGAGCCACTTTTGTCTTTAAGGATATTTTCTAAAAGTTGGGTCACACTCAGCAGTTTACATCTGGGGGTTCACATGCTGGACCAGAAAAGCAAGTCCTGCTGTTAGTACAGAGTGGGTGTTGGGGGCCATAGGAGGGGGTCCAGGAATGGCAGGTGCTGGAAGAATATAAAGACGGGGGCACCCTCCACAGGGATCCCTGTGGGCAGCAGGGCTGTGTGAATGGAAGGCAGGAGACAGACAGTCGGATCTTGGCTGTGGGTCTGAGAACCAGTGATGCAGAGCTGAGCCTCAGAGCTCAGCTGGCTGCAGGGACCTGAGGCTGGGAGGGTGGGACGGGCCTTGGGAGAGCACCGCTAATGCAGTTTGGAAATTATCCACTGCTGTATTGTTTCTTTTTTTTTTTTTTTAAATTCAAAGTGTACAAATGTGGCGGTAGTTTGGCTCACTAAGATTAAAACCATGTGGTTAAAAAATGAATTTTGTGAGTAATTACTGCTGTTCTCAGGGGCTTCTGAGATGCACTTACTTAGCTGTCAGAAGCAGCTGCCCTCTCAGAGTTCTTATTTTTATTTATCAAGTGTCTTGTACAGCAGCAGATCATGCCCTGAAAGAGTACCACCCCAATGATAAGGGCATCTTCCCTTCCTCTTCTCCAGGTCCTTGGTAGAGGAGTTCAGAAAGACACTATGCGCTTTGTGGCAAGGCAGTCAGACCGCCTTTAGTCCTGAGTCCTTGTTTTATGTTGTGTGGAAGATTATGCCCAATTTTAGGTAAGTATTGAAGAGTAGTCTAAAGCGTTAATGTTAGTCTTTATACTACCTCTAAAAAATTGTGATAAAGTGATGGTGTTCTAAATACTCTAAGTAATGGATGTTTTAAAAGAAGAATACATGGAAATCATGGACATTAGAAAGATCTTTAACAAAGAATGTTTTTGCTAAAAATATGATGTTTATATGTGCTAGGAACCCCTACTGACAGAATTTCCTTGGCTCTTTCACAGTCTCAAAAAGAATAAATAACATCATACACTGTCTCTTTATTCCAGCTACAAAAGTTGTAGTGAGGTCAGCAGTGACCTGTGGTATTGTAGTCGCTATTCTAGGCTGGTCACATGGTCGGCTGCTTCACGCAGTTAGCCACAGCTGAGTGTGGGGGCGCTTGGCTGTTAATCCCAGGTCTCTGGGAGACTGAAGCAGGATTGCAAGGTTGTGCAATTTAGCACCTTGGTGAGACCCCGTAATCCCTTCTGAGAACTCTTCATAGGTTTCTGCTACCTGGTATTTTTTGGCCTTGCTCTGCCTGGGAGAGTTGGAGGGGGTTGGAGATCTTTTCTTTCCTTGCTTCCCCATTCTCCTGTGTGTATTTCTAAGTACATACATATAATTATGTATGCCTCCCTCTTTTTTCCTCTGCTTTATTTGGAGGCATTACTGCAGGTTAGGGACTAGAGAAATGAGAGTTTGTAGTTTAGATGGAGATGTTTAGTAGGCTGTTGCCTCTTCATGAGGAACTTTTTTTAGCTTTTTATGTTCAGTGCTAGTATTTATTCCTTCTGTTCCTTACTTTAAGTGACTTGAACTTTGTCCCTATGATTTGCCAAAGTAATTACTTCTGGTAGCAACAGCATCCACAGAGGCGGCCGTGCAGCCCTTCTGTCGAGACCCCTTGCAGTGTCCTGCCCTGGCTATTGCATTGATGATTATCTGTGGTTGCTGTGCAGCCAGGTAGGGGAGGTGGGGCAGGGAGAAGAGAGGTAGTTGGATGAGTAGTTTTAGAACCAAAGGGGGAAGTCTGAAGTGAGGAGAGTGGTAGATGAGAAGAAAAGGTCCATGTGGGGTATGATTTTATTGGAGTACTTCTGGTTGAGTTGAAGGGTTAATGTTGAGAATTTTCAGAGGACATTTTGGGTTTAGATGTCCCCTTGAAGCGTTATAGGTGGAGCTTTTTCAGAGGTGGCTGATCTTGAGTGTGAGACTCACTTATGGTGCAATCGGTATACGGTGTCAGCAACAAGAAAAATAACTAAGATAGTGAAAGGATGAGATACGGTAGAAAGCGGGTTCACTGTGATGGAGGAGAGCATGTGGCCTGTCCACCACAGGAGGAGGACCTGCCCGCTGGGAGCACAGGAAGCTAGGCACTATACAAAGGAGCCGAAGGCTTAGGGTGGGGAGGATCCAAGACGCATCCTGGAGAAGATAGGAGCGACTGGGAGGGAGCTGAGCTCGGGGAATTTATGGGGTTTGTGAGTTTGGAAAAGGGATACAGATGGATGTTAACCTTGTCATCAGGGTCTGGGGCGAAGTCCTAGAGAGGGAGCCCAGACGATGGGGAGAATCTAGACATTTTACATCAGAGCCAGTGTAAAAACAGATACCCAAAAGTAACCTGAAAACACGGAGAACCCTAAGAGAACAGAACACGACCCCACATTGCTCTATAAATCTGGAAATACACAGGTCCAAGGAGCCTGTACAATGTCTGGTGGGAACGCAGGTGATTTACTCCCAGGAGACACTGCACCTGTGGTTCCCAGGCAGCATCTTCAGCAGGGCCTGAGCACCCAAGCCCGGAGATGCCCCTGCTCCCTCCAGGCTACACCAGAGCTGGCACAGACCTGGCCTCCTCCTGTGGGACCAGGCCTCCTGCAGTCCACTCTGGCCTGAGTCTTGGGTTAGGAGCTCTGCTGCCCGCCACTCTCCCTGGGGGAGAGGGGTGTTCAGCAGACAGATTGGCAGATTGGTGGACCGGAAGCCGACCACTCAGTCGGGATTATCCCCAAGCCTGTAGCAGTGACAGGTTAATGCATTGCAGCCCTGTGGATCAGGGCCAGCCGGGAAACAACAGAACCATGAGACCTGTACTGGGTCTTGCTTTGGCCCAGAGGAGGAATGTGTGTTGTGGTACCATGAGCATCGTGACAGCCCGGGTCTTGACTGAGAGGCTACAAAATGCAAGGTGCATATCCTCTAGTGGTGATCATCAGTACTGGACAGCAGTTTTATAAATCATACTAAAGCCCGGGGGCTTGGGGGCTGGGTGATGCCAGATGGGAGAAGAGAAGAGAAAAGGGAAAACACTTTAAAGCCCTCTGCTCTGTGGTAGGGGAAGGAGGAACCAAGAAGGGGTGAAGCCGCCTGTGGGGATTGCTGTGGAGGGAGGAGGGCACAGGGTGGCCCTGGGCCCCAACACCCTCCTGACTCGGCCTTCCCTGCAGTGGTGTCTTGTCCGTCTTCCCCCCATCTGCTCCGTGCTGGGCTGCGGTGCTGTGCCGAGTCCCTGGCCTTCCGGCCCTTGTGCAGGCTGCTCAGGAAGCAGAGTGCTGCGTGCTCCTTGCCCGTCCAGTGTGGTTCTCCATTCCTGGTGAGCAGCGCAGATGTTGGTTTCACTTTGCCTCCAGGCTGCAGTGTGGCCTGGCTTGTCCTCCGGGCCCTGGTCCTGCCAAATCCTTTCATCCTGGTTCCCCAACTGTCAGTTCCCGCTCAGTTCCGGGGAACCATGCTCTCTGCTTCCTCTCCCTGCAGTTGTTCCGCACTGCTACACTATTTTGGGGCTTTGCATTTTATTCTTACACAATAGTTTCCATTTATTGAATGTCTACAATGTGGTGGATATGCATGAGCCACAAAAAAATTCCCCACAAGGTAGGGATTGTTACCTCCATTTTAGAGAAGTCAAAACTGAGAAAGTGACAAGCAGCTTGTGTGCAGTCTTGTATACATGGGGAGCCTTGCGACCCAAAATGGACTCCAAGTGCACCTGGGCTTGGCTGGTACTGGTGTTGCCGGCAGGGATTTGCTTACATGCCTTGAGTAAGATCCACTGATTGTATCCTCTTCCCCTGCTCCCTAGGGTGACCTTGCTCTTTCATCCTTGGAAGTATCCAAACATTCTGTTTTTACACAGTACCTCTACTTTTCCTGTTACCCTTCTATATCTTAATCTGCCCGTTTTAGTTTCTATAAACCACCTGTGGGCAGCGCCTGCTTGGGAGCACAGTGAGTCTGCAATCAAAGTCCCAAGTCAATACCTGTGAGGAAGCCCATTTTCCTTGAGTGACACACAGCCGCCTCTAAGGAATTTAGTTGCCTTCAATGTGAGGACTCAAGTAGAAGCATGCATCTGTTAGCAGGAGCAACTTTATTAAATGGATGGAGGGTAATCAGCTTCGGTTACAGAGATGAAGGCTATCGTTTTTTCTCCTGTCAACCCAAAATTTAGTACCACTACAGAAAAAAAGTTTTTTAGCTACTTAGTAGAGAAAATTCCCCTTAAATTTTGATCTTTACCAGCAGAGATGCCTGCTTACCACATTTCTGCCCTCCTAGTGTGTCAATTTTTCTGGGCATTTTCTTTTCTATAAAAATATCTTACTGTTTAATAGGCAAAATAGACAAAGTTCAAAAGGTTAAAAAATAAGCAGTGACTATTTTACTTTGTTCTCTAGCAGTTTTCTAGAAGCAACCAGGGATACCAGATTTCTGTGTATCTTTTGTGACAGTCTGTGACAATGATTCTTAGTAGTACACAGCTTCCTTGGTCCCTTTTATACTTATATTGTAAGTGACATAAGAGTTTCCCATTTGTTGCTGTGGCCAACTTAAAGGTCAAAATAGTTTATTTGAATCATGGTTTTAGAGGTTTTAGTCCATCACCTTGTTGGTTCCCAGGAAGAAACATGACACTAAAAGCCTAATAGAGCAGAGCAGGGAGGAGTGCCTGGTGTGAGACCACCTGTCTTGAAAGTCCCTCTATGTGAGCACCACCTCCCAGGGCCTACGGCATCCAGCTGTGGCTCTAAGAGGACCAGCCCCCACCCCAGGATTAGAGGCCCTGCAACCAGTCCCTCCCAGCAGCCTCTTCATCCAGTCACTCTGTTAAGATTCACCAGCACGGACCCTGCCAGTGGTTACTTTTAATCTCTTCTCCTCTAAGCAGGGCTGCAGTGAATAATCTTTTTCAGATCTCAGATGACTTGCTAGGTCAGTGTGTTTTTGTGATTTTTGATAGTCTTGGTCTGGCCTGTTCCTCCTTGTTTTCCTTTAACATTGGGTTTGTCTTGTTGGATCGGTTATCTTTGTGTGTCATCTGCTTCTGCTTATGGTATTTGCCTTGAGATCCCTCTCTTTCTGATACAGTTTAATGCAAACACTCCAGGGAAGTCTGTTGATAAGTCACATCAGGTCCAGCAGTTTTTGTTTGCTTTTCCTATCATCTGCGTGCTATTCCTATTGCATATACAAGCTGATTTATTTGCTTTGGCTTCCTAAAACAACTTGAAGTTTTTTTTTTCTTTTTAAATTAGTTATTACAATTAATGTTTAAAAGTAACGAGAAAATAAATTATTCTGAAACATTATTGTTTAGCTGTTCTTGGTTACAGACTGTAATAAAAGATCTTTGTGGGCAATAGATTTTTGCATTTAGTACTTTAATCTTTTGGAATATTTGTAAATAGAGAAAGGCTGAGAATATTATATTTTACACTTAAGTATTAGTTATGTTTTTACATTTAAATATCAGTTCTTCTGAGAAATGTGTTATTGGATGTTCTTTCTCATTTTCTGGTGTTCTTGTCTTAAGGAGACTGGGCCGTGATTGGTTCCAGATACTAGACAAGAATAACTCAGTGTATTTGGTTTTGAAGATAATGCTCAAAAACAGTAATTTAGATTTCTTGTATGAATATTAGATATTTTAAGTAAGAAAATTACCTAAAACGCTAACATGTGCAAAGTATTTTTGAGGGAGTTTCAAGAATGTCACAATTAGATGCTATAGAGAGGCAAATGCTGCTTCTTCATTGTGACACTTTCACGATTGAGTCATGTATCAACAGTCTGAAGGCTATCAACGATGGCTCTGTTTTTATTTTTTATTTTTTTATTTTGGAACTGGGAATCAAACTCATGATGTCTCATTTGCCAGGCAGGCACTGAGCCACAGACCTGTATCCCTGGCCTGGCATATGCTACTTATCTATCTTTGCTGTTTTGTGGATTATGTATTGGCACTACTAGAACAACTCATAATTGGCACTACTAGAAAATAACTCATAATGCACAGGTATATGTCACTTAAGCACATGTGGCACCACATAGATGCTTGTGCTTGTGTGTCCTGTGATGTGTTTCACTATTTGAAATGCTCACTTTTTACTCTTGAGCATGTATATCAAAGTACTTTTTCTTTGGTTCTTTAGTATTTGGATACATTTAAGGTAGCTGTCCTCACGGGCTGTAGTTTCTGGTGAAGAGACAGCTGCGTTTTCCTGTACACTGTGCCTCAAGGCTGTGCCTTTTCCTTGGCCACCCATCCAGAAAGGGTGCTTCAGGACCTTTTATTCAGGTTTCCACATCTGCAGTGTGCTCGCCAGTTACGACTTCTCATCAGCTCAGGACAGCTCCTGGGGTGCTCTTTCTGTCCAGAAGGAGAAGGAGTAATCTTGTCTGAGGTCAGGTCAAGCGAAGATAAGGAACTGCCTTCCAGTGGGAACCCTGTTACTTCTCTATGTTCTTTTCTGTTGAGTTTGGTGTGTTGTGGAGATACGAGTTCCCACAAATCCACTTCTCATTAGTTTGCAAGTGACTTGTTGTGACACCACTAGAAAATGTGCATGAAGTGTACACGGCGCGCTTGAACATGAAGAAGGTTTCCTTTAACATGAGTATAAAATGAGGAAGTGAGTGGACTGCAGAGGGAATTCTGAGGCCTGGCTTGTGTAATTGAGAAAGGAGGTAACTGAAGTTTGCTCAGTGTAACATGTTAAATGCTGTGCATTAAGGTTGTCAGAGAAGCCAAAGAAATACTAAAAATTTTAAAAATTGAACTATAGGAAACATTATATTTTATAAAGTTTGCCCAATTCCAAAATAAACAAGCCAATTAGACAAGCCAATAAACAAGCCAATTATTTAAAAGAGAGGTGTGTAAAATTGTCTTTAGTTAGAATCAGAAAAATTCCAAGTCTTATTAGAAGAACCAGACACTTTTCTGATAAATTCCATTAAAACTCATAATGTACATCATTATTATTCAGCTGCTGTTCTATAATCTCATGCAGGCTAAAGAAAATGTGTTTGTAATGGTCTTAGCAACTTGATACAAGAGAATCATGTTATGGTTGAAAAATTCATTAATGTACTTCTGGCAGATTTTTTTTTTTTTTTGAGACAAGGTTTCACTGTGTAGTTCAGATTGGCCTAGGCTGGCCTCAAATTTACCGTGATCCTCTTGTCTTAGCATCCTTAGTGCTGGGATTACAGGTTTGCACCACCATGCCTGGCCAGATTGTTTTTTTTTGAAAGGACATGAATATTTGTTAACCCAATTAAAATACAAATTGTATAACTGCAAAGCATTCGCTTTGGCAGTCTAGGAAGATGACAATTTAGATAGTAGGTTTTTTTTGAGGAGAGCATGAAATTGTATACGTGAGAATTTTAGGTACTACCAATCATGAAAGCAAGTAGATACAGTGTTGAAAATATTTAAAGCATCTTCTTTGGTATACTACTTTAGTTACCAACTTCAAATACTTTTTTGAATTTTGACATATTCAACTGAGCCTTGCAAAAAATACACCAACATATCTTTATACTAACTTGCTAAACACAATAGTTTTGACTTCTTCTTCTTCTTTTTTTTTTTGTCTTTTTCGTTTTTATCAGTACCAGGAATCGGACTCAGGACTGACTGCCTGCTTGCAAGGCAGGCGCTTATGCCACTTAGCTAAATCCCCAGCCCCAATAGTTTTGACTTCTGACTATAAGTTCCATTGATTAGAGGCTGTTTTCAGAAAGGTGGGGGGGAATACACATATTAAAGGAAACTGGTAGAATTTTTTTCAAGGACCCATTGCCTGGGATGGGAGAGTGACGGTAGTACTGACTGTTAAAAAACACAGCAGATCCACTTAGAAGATGCATTAAAGAGAAACTTCCATGATGATAAAACATAGACAAGTCTTTCCTGTTACAGTTTTATAGACATAAATATTTATCGTAATCTTGATTTGTTTTATCTCAGTCTCCCAAACCTTCCAGCCAGCTGTCAGTTTTCTGTGTGCATTCTAATGTGTATTAGTGCAAGTAGTAATACAATACATTGTTTTACACACACATGCTCTCGAGGCTATAAAGTATATATGACTCAGTGTGAGGGGTTTTTTTTTGTTTGTTTGTTTGAGATGGAGTCTTCATGTGTAGTCCAGTCTAGCCTCGAATTTTTGGCAATCTTCCCACCTCAGTGTCTGGAGTGTTGGGATTACAGACGTGTACCACCATAGCTGGCAAGTCAGTACAGTTTTTCATTCAAAAGCTATTCGAAGTTTTAAATCATGGTGGTGTACCCTGTAATCCCAGTACTGCACAGGCTGAGGCAGGAGAATCATTGCAAGTTCAAGACCAGTCTGGCCTACAAAATGAGCTCAAGGCCAGCCTGAACTGCATAGGGAGACCCTATCTGAAAAGATAAGTAATAAACGCTGTCATGCATATATAGAATATTCACCATCTTTTTTTTTGGTCTTTTTCATTTTTATCAGTACCAGGGATCGAACTCACGACTGCCTGCTTGCAAGGCAGGCGCTTATGCCGCTGAGCTAAATCCCCAGCCCCTGAACATTCACCATCTTAAACTCCTTAAAGCTTTTCTTTCTTTCTTTCTTTCTTTCTTTCTTTCTTTCTTTCTTTCTTTATTTCTTTCTTTCTTTCTGTCAGCGTTTAATAATTAGTATTGTTCAAGCTGTGGAGTTCTATTTTATTTCCTGTCTTGGAGTTTATAGCTGATTTCTGGCGAGTGCTAGCAGGAAGCATCGGGGTTTGTCTGGGAGACACAGTTAGGCCTGTTGCACTCTCACTTAAGACTCGCTAGGTGATTCGCAGCCTCCTCGGTCAGGGGAGGTCCGTGGAGAATACCATTACAGCTCTGTTCCTGCTGTTCACGCTGTTTCCAGGAGTCTGAAGCTGTGTTCTGTTCTGAGGAGAGCTCCTGCGCAGTCTGTATGGCACTGTGCAGCGAAGGGTAGCAGGGCGGGTGGACCCTCCCCGTGACCATCTCTGTTTGCTTTCAGGGGCTACCAGCAGCAGGATGCCCATGAGTTTATGCGCTACCTTCTGGACCACCTCCACCTGGAGCTCCAGGGCGGTTTCAACGGGGTTTCCGGAACGGCAATTCTGCAGGAGAATTCTTCCTTGGCTGCAAGTAACAAATGCTGCATGTAAGACTAAGTTTTCCTTTGTGGAGATGTCTCTTGGGGTGTCCATCGATTCTGGAAAGGAGAGCAGCTCCCTGCACTTGTACTGGGCCCTCTGCGCCCTTGAGCTCTGTGACCAAGGGGAGGAGCTCTGTGCCTCTGGCTTTTACACCAGAGGCCTGTGGCATTCGCGTGCTGGGGTAGTTGTTAAGTTTCTGGTATGGATGATTTAAAAACCTGCCAAAGTGGACAATATTCGAATGGTTTAGCATTTAGAAGGTTATCCTGCCAGGGTATTGAACAGTGTGAGGGTATAGGGCAGAGGCTTGGACTCAGGGCCTCCTGCCTTCGCTGCTAAGCCACACCCCTAGCAGAGCTCCACATGCTCACGAGAGCCAAAAACTTAACATAAAGCCAGTTTTCTTGAAGTTTCTCTTTCTTAATGAAATTGAGGAATCTGTAAGTTTTCAAACTTGTTTTCTTGCCTGTCGCTGAATAAAACAAAACTTTTGCATAGCTTCCCCATGCATTAATAGCCTAAAATATAATTTGAGGTTAGAGCATTTATTTTGCCTGAGGAAGGCATACTTTTCTGATACTTTAGTTTGAATTTTGGTCAAGTTTTCCTTTATTCAGATTTGTGAGAAATGTTTGGTGCTGATCTATAGAGGAATGGAATTTATAAGACAGACTTGTCTGAGAGAAGGGAGAGAGCAGTACGTACATACAACCAGTGTGGTGTCCCTGGGCAGTCAGTGAATCTGGCTCAGAAAGACCAGAGCTTTAGAGTGACTGGGCAGCCTCCCAGCTGGCCTGGCAGCCTCAAGAGGGCAGCTGTGTGCACAGAGTACTTGTCCCTCTAGGTCCTGTACCTGTGGTTCCTGTAGAGAACAGGAACAACTTGTGACTTGGTAAAATTGTTTTCCCATCAGCACTGAACTAAAACTAGTATGAGGTGAAAAATCCTATTTGCGTTGCAGTTTGGCAGTCTTACATCAAGGACCTGGCATTGGGCCCTGCCCTGCCCAGGACAGTGTGCAACGTGAGTGCGGGTGCTGTGTGCGCAAGGCTGTGGCACTCTTGGGGGGCCCCAGGTCTGCGGCTTATGTGCTTTCTGCATTTGTGTATAAATCCTCTCATGACATTTTAAAGAACAGTAATTACTCAGGAATAGACAAGAAAATATACCAATTACTAAAAATTTCAGAGATTACTTTTATTTCCTTCCGTGCACTGGAGGAGGCATTTCAGGATCTAACAATATTTTCTAAAACTAGAAAAATACCTCCTGTGAAGTACTGTCTTTACTGACACAAACACTCCCACCCCTAGAGAAAGTGGTCGGTGGGAGGGGGGTAGATGTGTTCTTTTTAATACACAGTTGTTAGCTTTGGTGTCAAAGGTCTCTGCAGCATATGAACCTAAGTACTCAAGATTTAAATGCTCCTGAATCACAGTGGAACCGCAGTTTTGAAATCTGTCTATGAATCTTGTTTTAAGAGTATAGTGTATCTAAATTTAAGGTCATACATGTCAGATAGCCACAACTTGATTTCCTCTGAGAAGGGATTAGAAAGGAAAAACCTACACTGAGTGTAAATGTACTGCTCTTTTTGAAGCAGTTGCTATTTTAGTGCAGGGTACCTTCATGAGCATCCTCTTGGAAAGGTGAATTGTGGCCCATTTTCAGTGTTTCTTGGTAGATTCTTCATGGTACAGGTATCAACCTAACACCTGAAATGGTCACTAGTTCCTACTTTTCCCCAGGTGGCTTCTGTTCCTTTAACTTACTAACCCCAGTATATCTTACACCCATAATTCTAAAGATAATGAAAGCACTTTTCTTTTTTTGCTAGAGAAGGAATCAGATTTTTGAGACAGAAAGTCTTGGGTTTGTCTCCACAGTGGCTCCATCTCTGCCGTGCTTCCATTTGCCATCTTCTTTCCCACTGGTGGAGCAGCCGCATAGCTGTCCTGCGAGTGCTTATTCAGTGCCCGCTTGGCAGTGCCCGCTCGGCAGTGCCCACTGATGCTATCTCAGTCAGCGGAGAAAAGAGCATAGTGTACTTGCGACTTGGAGCCGTGTTCCTTCAGTACCCCTTGGGCCTTGGGCCTCACTTCCTGTTGTGCAAGTCAGGATGCCTTCCTAGGGCTGCTGTAAGGCTGGAGTCGGTCCGTGGGGAGGGCGCAGAGTGCAGCCCGTGCGTGCAGAATGCTGTTGAGGTGCCCGCTGCCCGCATAGGTGCTTTGTGTCGCACCGTGTCTGAGGGTGAGGTGCAGGAATGAGATGAGCATTTGGGGAAGCAGTGAAAGCAGGCAGCAGGTGCAACCCGACTGCATGCTGATCAGGTTGCGGCAGGCCCTTCAAGTGGTTTGAGGGGTTATGCCTTTCTGACTGCATCTTCACAGCAGGCCTCCAGCACTCTTCCCCTGGCTCTTAAGGGGGTCTATTTTTTCTCCACAAGAAAATTGTTTCTGATACTGTTAGAAGAGCTTTGAAAAAGCTTGTTCACAGTAACATCCAGCACTTTTCCAGAATTACTAAATAGGTCTTCGGTTTCATGATCACCTCACATTCAAAATTGCAAGAATTCCCTGTACCACGAAGGCCTCAGAATGATGCAAATACAAAACAGTGCTTTCTTCTCTAAGGGATGGGTCAGGCAGGGTCGTCTGGGCCTGCAGCCGTGTGTGTAACTGTGTGTTGTCATACAAAGGGCCGGGGTTTGCTTCTGGGTAAACTGGGGAGGCCAGCAGCCACAAACTTTTAGTTGTAGTGTTTGTCTACACAGCTCTGACTTTCTTCATAACTTAATATAAATGATACATCTGTTTCCCAAGAGGAGCAGTGATGGGGGTCTTTACAGATATCTTAGGCTTTTGAATGTCAAAGTGAGTTTTACTGAGCGGTTTCCCACACGGTGGTTTCTTTAGAAATGGAGCTTCAACTGTGGTCACGGCTGTCTTCGGGGGTGTCCTCCAGAACGAGGTCAATTGCCTCATCTGTGGGACAGAGTCCAGGAAGTTTGATCCATTCTTAGGTGAGGAGTATTTGGCATGGGGTTTTCCTTTGAAAATTAAACCAATAAAGAGAAAAATCACTCATTTAACAGCTATTTTCTTACCTCCTCTTCAGACCTTTCATTAGATATTCCAAGTCAGTTCAGAAGTAAGCGCTCTAAGAATCAAGAAAATGGTCCAGTTTGTTCATTACGAGGTAAATATATTCATTTACCTTTATAATTCATTTTTTCCCTTTAAAAAAGTAAATAGATTTGTAAGTTCCATCAGTATAAGCTGTTTGGTTTATATCTTTAGTTAATGTATTGTAGTTTAACAAGGCACACTGGAATGTCTTTTTCCTAACCCCCAGAATTCTGTTTAATAAGAATAAGATAAGAGGTGACGAGTAAGGTATTTCTCAGCTCCTTCTTCTTTGTTAACATTGGGTTCAAAATTAAAAGTCCATAACAGAAATTTTCCTGAGGAAATGAAACAGTATTGATTCTAAGTATAAATACCTCTAGTTTCTAGAGAAAGCTTACCCAGCCAGGTTTTACACATTATGAGGTCATGTATGTTCTTTTGTATGAATAACAGTTTGAGAAATCAATTGCCAATTAAGCCCAAAACTAGCTTTTAATTTCAAGACCATTAAAATTCACAGTTACTTTGGGGGATTATACTGATTTTTCCTCTTGGTGAGTAAAAAACCTAATTTACTCACCAAATTTATGGAGAGAGGATTCAGGATGGCTGAGTACCCAGTAGCAGGTCTACCACCCAGAGCCAAGGCAACAACAACAAAAAAAACACAGCACTGAGTGACTCTGAGGGTGATCCCCAAGTGAAGGCCACCTCTTGAAAGCACAATGCAAACTGCACCTGTCCCTAGGCAGAAGGTGGGGACAAGGGAAGCTGCTGGCTGAGGAGCACCTGCTCAGCTCCACCCGTATCACCTGTGCAGAATGAGAGACGGTCCCCTTCCCAGACCCGGTGCTGCTGGAGCAACATGCCCAGCATCACCTAGGCTTACTGCCCACTGCGTTGTCTTATAGCTTCAGGACTGTGGTTCCCAGTGCTTTGGCACCTCCTGTACTTGCCTGTGTAACCCAGGACCATCTCCGCCCACAGTCTGCAGTTCTGGGACTGGAGAGACCATGGGAGGGTCGTCAGCCTCCAAAAATTTGGACACCAGTGCCACAGAACTAGATGTTACTTTGACATGCCCTGGGGGACCCAGAGGATAGTCTTGCTAACAGCCTGTGGACTGGAGACCACAGCAGCACTTGTCTCTAGGGCCCTGGAGAAGATACTGTCTGGGACTCCACCTCCATGAAAGCAGCCAGCAGCACTAAAAGCCACAGCCTCACCACCCCACAGGACCAGGGCCTGTGCCGATGACTACAGGTGCCACAGAGCTGGCACCAGCTGTGCTCATCCCCTGGGACCTAGAGACGGTCATACTATCCTGGGGCTCAGGACTATTTCCTGCTAGTGCCAAAAGTCCAGAAATCTTCCCACACACATTGTTGGGGTCCCAGGGAACGTCTCCGTCATATCCCTTGGCCTGGGGACTGGAGGTCGGATCTGAGCTTTCTTGGACAGACTTGGGGGCAGTCCCTCACAGTCTGCACCACTGAGACATGGCATTTGTTGTTAGGAGCTCCAGTGCTACTGGGCAGTTTGGAACCCCCAGCTGAACTGGGTCAGCGTGGTGTAGGGTGTGGAAGGTTCCTTGAGGGTCACTGCCAGCAGCATAAAAGAGGTGGAGGGGGATGATGGTGCTGTTGGTTCTCATGGAGAAGCTCGTCCCTATGGCTTCCCTGATACGAACTAGGCTGTTCTCATCATCGGAGGTGCTCAGGACCGCATTGCTGAGATGGCTGTGGTACTTTTCAGGGGAGCTGTGGTCCTTACTTTGAGCCTTGCTTCCTGGCTCCAGTGCAGAGCCCTCAGCCTGCTGGCACAGATCCTTCATCCTGCTGGTGCAGACTTTCTAGCTTCCACCACTGACCTTCAGGCCTTCCCAGCATAGATCCTTGGTACAGACTTGCATGGGACATTGTCATAGGCTCTAGGCCTCCAGCTAGACTTGTGCAAGACACTGCTGTGGGACCCAGGCTGTCAGCTGGACTCTTTGGGTCTCAGTGTGTGGACAGAGCTCCTGTACTCTTCTGCATTTGGCATTTTGGGTGAATAATCCTATGAATTATGTGTCCTGAATTAAATCCATTCCCTTGCAAAACCTAACTGCAACACTGAGGGACTTGAGGCTGTGAACCATTGGAATCCTAAGTCCAGTGCAAAGTCATACACTACTGTGAGACTACTAGGGTGGTGACATCAGTCAGACTGAAGACATCACACAGAGGCTGCACTTTTGAGCTCACCTGTTAACAAAGAATCTACCCGACTCATACTCTATATCCTAGCTACATGAAAAAAATTCTTTTCCTACAACAGCTACTCCATAAAATTGGAAAGAGTAACTGTTATCACCAGCTCTGCGCACATCAGATTAGGGAAACGTCCTTTTAAAACAAAATACAGAATCTCCAGAAATATATCCTGGTTTGAAGGATATTATGAAACGCTTGAAAAAAAATTAAAATAATGATTCCTAATGAACATCAGCAAGATGTGTCAGAATATAGATATTATAAAGAAAAAAAGATATTACAGAGAAACAACTTCACCAAAGAAAGAACCAGCCAGGAACCTTAGAACTGAAAAAAAAGTTGATTAAAAAAATGCAATTCTAGAACAGAGAAGAAGCAACAGGAGAGAATTTGTGAATTGTTAACAGGTCTTTTGAAATAGGTACAAGAAAGGAAGAAAGCTGCTGAGACTCTGGGGACACCGTTAGGTAAAAGGTAGTTGTATGGTGAGAATTCCCGAAGGTGAGAAAGGAAGGTACTGCAAACTTATTTCATGAAATGATAGCTGAAAAACTCCTCTAAGTCTTCAAAGAGATACAGACATTCAGATACAAAGAGTTCAAAGGACCCAAACTAGATTCAACTAAAAAATATCTTCACCAAGGTGTATGATTACAGTCAAAATATAAGAAGTCTAAAACAAACCTAAGAAACAGCGAGGCGATAGTGTCAAGTCACATGTAAGGAAATGCCCTTTGGATTTCAGCAGATTTCTCAGCTTAAACTTCACACAAGTGGAGAGCCTGGGGTGATACATTCAGAAGTCCTGGGGTGGGGTGGGATAAAGGGGACAGCCCAGAATGCTGCCCTGTGCCCAGGGGAGAGTTGTTCTTCGTAAACAAGGGAGAAGTGGAGTCTTTCCTAGATAAGGAAAAACCAAGGGAATTCATCCCTACCAGAAGGGCTCCACAGGAAAAACCCGTACCACAAACAGAAAGGTGATCGTGAAAACACGCAAGGGTGCAAAACTCATGAAAAGTGTACACACACAGAAGAAAGCCTAGATTGAAAGGATCACGAGATAGATAAACAGAAAATAACAAAAACAGCAGGATAATCATACCTGTTAGTTATAACCTTGAATGTAAATAGATTAAATTCACCAATTAAGAGAAAACTGGCTGAAGGATGGAGAAAAGACCTAAATATGCTTCCTACAAGAAATTCAGCCTGAGGGCCGAGTTGCATCTCTCATGGAGCCACCTGAGAGGTGAAGCAAGTGTTCCTACTCTGGAGAAAGAGAAAGGCCAACACAGTGAGCTGGGGATTTCAACACCCCACTTTCCTGCGGGGGAAAGGTCATCGGACAGAAAGGGTCATCAGGACAGAAAGCTGACAAAGCAATGGCCAAATTGGACCATACCACAGAGCAGATGGATGTACCAGACATTTATCCAGAGCATTCTACCCAACCCCAACAGACTACAGTCTGCTTCTCAGTACACAGTCCTTCTCTAGGGTAGAGCACACGCTAGGCTACAGAATCTCAGTACCTTAAAAAACTGAAATATAATTGATCTTCTCAGACCACAGTGGAATAAAGCTAAAATTCAAGATGAGTAAGAATGGAAAATGTACAAATACATTGTATACAAATTGAAAATGCTCCTAAATGATCAATAGGTAATGGAAAAAGGGAAATCAGTGGAAACTAACAATACAGTAAATTAAAATCTCTGGGAAACAACAGAAGCAATCTTGAAAATTAAGACACCAAACACACAAGCTAACATTGTACCTCAAGGATTTACAAAACCAAGAACAGACCATACCCAAAATTAGAAGAAAAGAAATAATAAAGATCAGAGCACAAATAAACTAAAGTAAGTACAAAGATCAATGAAACAGTTGGTTTTTTGAGAGGACAGGCAGAATCAGCCAGCCTTTCCATGGGCCTGATTAACATTAGGCGATTGCCTGCAGCTAAGGCCATAGAGATCCTCAGGAACTTAAGGCCCACTAGCTTGGGGAAACCCGGAAAACCTAGGGGAAATCTATAAGTTTCTGAGTGCATCTGAACTACCAAAGAATAAAAAAAATTAGAGACTAACAAAGTCTGCCCTCTTAAAAAACCCCACTGGCTTTCCTGCTGAATTCCACAAAGGACTCGAACTAATTACCTGGGTGTGGAGGCCCATACCTGTAGTCCTGGAACTGTGTGACCCTGAGGCTAGAGGGTCACAGGTTTGAGCTCCTGGAGAGTAAAGTAGGGCTGCTGAGGGAGCTCAGTGTAAAAGCTCTGGAATTGATTCCCATTACCCTAAAAATAAAACCAATGGCACTTCTTCTTTAGTTACTCTGAAGATCGCTGAGCAGAAGTGCCTGGTGCTCACTGGCCACTCCACAGAGAACCGGAGCAGCTGCTGTGTGGCTGGGTGATGAGGCAAGGCCGCTTGAGAGCGAGCACCCTGTCACTGCTGCCCAGCCCCATGGCTGGAGTGGACAGCACCTGCTGACTGGCCGCACCCTGGTGGAGTGAGGCCCTGTGGGTCTCCAGCCTAAGTAGAGAAGCCAGAAACGTGCTTCATCTGTCTACAAGTGCCCAAAGCACTGCAGCTCTGAGTGGTCAGAAGTGATTTGTTGCCTGTGATAGGACAGTGTTAGGGTCAGAAACTCCTCACCACTCCACCTTAAGACGCCATAGGTAGCGCACTGTTTGGAGTGGCCCCTGGCATACAGCCAGGGGTGCAGAGACCACGGTGGGCAGCTGCCTCTGAGCTGAGGGCTGTGAGGACAGAAAGGATGCCTGTGGTTCCTGCCTGGACAGTTGCTCCCGCACCCCCAATCTAGCAGGAAGGCTTTGCTCTGGCTCAGGCTGGCCAGGAGCTACCTGTGTCAGTGCTGGTGGCTGCTGCAGCTGACAAAGAGAAGCCTAAGAAGGCCAGCAGGTCCATGCCTTTGTGTGCAGGGCTGTGCCCAGCACCACTTTACTTATACAACTGGGTGGCAGCAGGAGCTGGCCCAGGAGCAGCGTGAGCCAGACCAGGACACACACAGCCCTGTCTACAGACGATGTGTGGCTTCGGGGTCAGAGCCTTAGGGCTGGACAGAGGATTCTTGGGAGGTTAGCTTTGCATGATCTACATTTATTTTTAAAACTTATGACAGTTGGAAGTGTTACATCTAAATTTGATACTTAGTTTTTATAAGCTTTCTCCTAATGTCACATAGTGAGAGAAACATGGGCCCCTCCCAGCCCAATATGACTGAGAGCCTGGGCAGCAGCTCACATTTGCAGGAGGAAAGAGGCTGCTGTGACCTTGACCTCACAGGTGTCTGTGTGTTAATCCTCACAGTACTGATGGGAGCCAGAGCTAGGCTCTGCGTGCAGCTCGCTGTTGCTGCTCAAAGCAGGTTGATTTCTGTTTCTGGTTTGCATCAAAGGAGGTGACTCCTGCGGTCACAGAGCCAACACAGCTAAGCATCAAACTCCAGCTCCTCCTCATGCAGCCCAAATCCCTCTGGTTTCAGATTGCCTTCGCAGTTTCACTGACTTAGAAGAACTTGACGAGACAGAGTTATACATGTGCCACAAATGCAAAAAGAAACAGAAGTCCACAAAAAAGTTCTGGATTCAGAAACTTCCCAAGGTAAGTGCTGCTCCCCAAATTAGGATGCAGTCTCAAAGTTAAGAAAGTACCAAGCGCCTGCCTTGCAAGCAGGCAGTCGTGAGGTCGATCCCCAGACAAAAAAAAAAAAAAAAAAAAAAAGACAAAAAAAGAACCCAATTAATAAGAAAAGCTATTTTTTATAACTCAAGACCATGTGAACTGTTCTGAGGGTCACTAGGATTTTTTGGGTGAGCCGCAGCCCTGGGGGGATCCAAGGTCAGCAGGAAAACTATTGGGGCACCCAAAGTATGATTTGAGAGCCAACAGTATGGAGTAGTTGCTGAAAACGAGTCCGGTGCTCATTCAATCCTGGTCTTTGTCCTCGCCATCCAGGTGCTGTGCTTGCATCTGAAACGGTTTCACTGGACAGCGTATCTGAGGAACAAAGTGGACACCTATGTGGAGTTTCCTCTTCGAGGCCTTGACATGAAGTGCTACTTACTGGAGGTGGGCGCAGGCTGAAGCTTCAGCCAGAAGGCGGGATGGGGTGGGGTCTGGATGCCCCTGCACCGCTGCTCCTGATCGGTCCTGGGGGGCCTTGTGCTTCTCCCACAGCCCGAGAACAGTGGCCCCGAGAGCTGCCTATACGACCTCGCCGCTGTGGTGGTGCACCACGGCTCCGGGTGAGTATCGCCCTGATGCTTCTGCACTCCAGGTTTGCGTTCATTTAAGTGGGCCAAGAGGACCAGAAGTGCAGCAGAAGGTGCTCAGCAGCAGAATAGCAGCCAGCCCCACCCCAGACCCCACCCCACCCCGGCCCAGCCTGGCCTGCCCAGTCACCACCATTACTGTCCTTGCCAACTGCAATTTAAATGGGCAAAAAGTAGGGCAGTATTTAAAATACCCTGCCCCAGGCCAGTGGCTTTAAAGATTGGCGGTTGTTTTGTTAAATACTTCCCTGAGAAAGTCTGTGTCAGGTCGGGGACCTCTGACCTCTAGCCTGAGAACAGTTAGCTTGCCTCTGCCACGGCCTATGGCAGAAATCCATCTCCTCCCCAACTTGGGGGACACTGTTCCATCTGTGGTCACAAATGACAGGTCTGACACAGCCAATTGTCACCTCACAGGCAGGCTTGTTTTTTCCTAACAGTCTGTAGTCTCCACTACTGGTGGGTATAGCCAGTGTCTGCTGTTTCTCTGCTTTGTCTCTGGTAGGAACACTTTTAGTTTGGTGCCTTCAGCTGATGGAAATTTATTCTCTGTTCTTGCCCCTGGAATCTATCAACTATAGTGAGTTTCCTAGATGAGTTCCTCTGTATCCAGATTGAACTCCACAGCTCCCCCAACCCCCGTACCCCTTTGCTTCATTTGTCCTTCCTGACATTTTTTGTTTATGATATTGGGTTCCCCTCAAGATCCTGGCTTTTGATTTTTTATTTAGAATCAGAATACAGTGATACCTGTGTTTACCAACTTAATTTATTCCATGATTTTGGAAAAGATGGCCATGGTCATGTTTGTAACCTGCTGTACAGTTGACAAATAAAAACAATCTTTTGCCAAGTCCTCTTGTGAACTGAGGCACCACTGTAAACACTGAGCATTTTTGGTAAACTGGGGTTTTTCTAGCAACCATAAAGGTCTTTTCTACCCACAGGCCTTGCTTTTGACAGGAGGGTAGCCTGAGTACCCATCAGCTCTTAGGGCCAAGGCACCCAGGGTGTTTCTGAGGCCAACAACTTTGAGCTGTTTTTAAAGCTTTTCCACTGGTGAGAGTAACTGTGGCGCTGAGTTCCCACCGGCCCTGACCTGTGCTAACGCGCCGTGCTTGGGAGCTGCACGGCTCTACTTTGCTCTTCCATGACCCCAGTGCCATCTGCTTCCTGTGTTCTAGCAAACCCTGATCCCTGGTCAGGTGATGGTCCTTTCCATTTGCACTCAGTGTGTTCCTCTTCCCTGGGGGGGTTGGTGGAGGGGCACGGGCACTTAACCATCCTAAGCCAAGAGACTCCAGGACAGCAGCAGCGAACCTACGGCCCAAGAGCTGCAGGGAGCTGTTGGTCATTGACAGCTCCAGGTTTGCCATCACCACTCTAGAGTTTATGCTTTAATGACATCTCTCATGGCCGCACAGGTTGCTCATTTCCCCTGACCCATATGCCTCTTCCCCTAGGGTTGGCTCTGGACATTATACTGCCTATGCCGTTCACGAAGGCCGCTGGTTCCACTTCAATGACAGCACTGTGACACTGACCGATGAGGACACCGTGGGGAAGGCGAAGGCCTACATCCTCTTCTATGTGGAGCGCCAGGCCAAAGCCGGATCTAACAAACTCTGACACCTCCGAATCACTGCTCGTCAGCTCCCCTAGAAGGACACTTCCAATTTCCCATAAATACTTGATCCGAGATTGAATTTCATTATGCACTTTTCAGTCTCCTGTTCTGGATTTAGTTTTTCAATGGTAGTGACTTACTGAACATGGGCACCAACTAATTTTTTGTTGTTGTTCTACCAGAAAACCTCAGCAGACCTTTTGATTTGCTGCGTTAGTTGTAATAATTCAATTTTTGTATGTAGTTTCAAGAACTTAGTTCTATTTGATTTTATATTGTTTTCATTTCTCACCGAGGCACATTTACACCCATGCTTTTGTTACTCACCCGTGGAAATCCTGGGTGTGGAGGTGATGCCTTGTCCCAGGTCATGGCTGAAGGGTGTTGGCCCCATTGGATTCCTGGTGTCTGCATAGGACGGAGAGCTTGGCTGCTGCTCCTGCTATCTCCACAGGCTGCTGGCCTTCAGCACTAACTAAATAAACCTGTCGGGTTAGTTGTTACTGCACTGCCAGTTCAAGAGTGGGTGGCTGTTCCTGCTGGGGCGAGGTTTGTTTCTGGGTTTTGTGGGGAGGATGAGAGGTCCAGGGCTCAGCTGCATGGCACGGTATCACCAATGAGAGCCCAGCTCCGGTGAGCCCTGCTTCCCCAGGGCCATCTCAAGTGGTGCTGCAAGCCCCAGTGTCCCCATCACTGCCACCTCTGTGTCACTGTGGGGTCTGTGTCCAGGGGAGGAAGTTCGGGGTTAACAGGTCTAGAACCAATTTCAAATGTTCCCATTTGCAGGAGGCAGAGCTGCTGTTCTGTAATTAAGCAGCGTTTTGTTTACTGCTAGGAAAAAGAGGTATGAGCACTACTCAGATTTAACTAAAATGCAGATTTGGACCCAGAGCCCTTCTTGAAGGAAGCTGTCATTCTGCCCACATCCCAGGCAGGCTGGTGGCAATGACACTACCTGCAAGTGACACACAGCCAACCCAGGCCTGCAGGTGTCCTTCCTGTGATCTTGTCTTCACTGTTTTTTTAATGGTCAGGACTTTGCATGAGTACTGTGGCTTTCTCTGCAGGGAGGGAGGGGTGGGGACAAAACAGGACTGCTGGGTCAGCCTGCTGGGTAAACACAAGGAAGGGACTGCGTAGCAGCTGCTTCTGCATTTTGCTGCCTCTAGTGAGGTGGCCGCACAGGGTCATTAAGATGTGAAACAGGTGTTAGTGGCATTGGCTGCCCTCGAATGCTCACACACCCAGCACGGAGCAGAGGGGCCAGGCAGTTCCCAGTGCGCTGCTCCAGGCCGCCCTCCACTGGGTGACGATGCCCGCTGCCCACTGCCCGCACGATTGGCTCTGGCAGCTTGGACAGGGTCTCCAAAGGACAGGCAGACAGAAGCGAGGATTTTAGGCAGTCCCGGAAACGGAACCGACTCCAAGGCTGCTCTGCTGCAGTCTTTGGCCTCAGGGTGAGCGATTGTGGTGGCACTGGTGCGCTGCTTTTCACACTACTGGGACCTGACTGCTTTGTTAGGAAAAGCGGGCTTCAGACTTAGGAGAAAGCAGCACATTTCTGGTTTTTTTTTCTTTTGTTTTGAGACAGTCTCGCTTTGTAGTTCAGGCTGGCCCTGAACTGTGTATCCCAAACTGGCCTTGAACTTGTAGTGATCCTCCTGCCTCAGCCTCCTGAGTGCTGGGATGACAGGCCTGCGCTACCATGTCCGGCTTCTGCAGCATTTTTCTTGCTTGATTTTACTTCAGCAACAGCATGGGGGTGGCATCAGGAAGATGAGAAGGCTGTGCCCCCAACACCCACTTAAGTGCGCCTGCGGGTGACTTCAGTCTGTTCATGCCTCTGTTACCCCGCCCTGTGCCTGGCAGAGTTGGACGGCACAGCCCCCAGGTCCTCCTATACAGGTGGAAACTGCTTGTGACAACACGAATCTCCCCGAGCAGAAACCTCTGTGCGTCCAGTGTTCTGCTCTGCACGGTGATGAGAATGGCACTGAATGAACCAGCCCTGGCACTGTCTGGGGAAGCATTTAGCCAGCAGGGCCTGTTTATGTCCCAACTCGTGGCTCACGGACATCTGTCCATAGGGACACACCCCACTGTGACCCTGGGCGGTTGGACAGAGGGACTGGGAGCGCCTACACTTCAGGCAGGGGGTGTACGTGGGGTGGGGCCTGGGGCGCCGCGATGCCCCTTGAGATGCCCCCTGAGATGGAGTGCGATCACTGTTCACTCCCCCAGCGCTGGCGGAGCAGAAAAGGCCGGGACACAGCGCCCCCTACAGGCCCGGGCGAGGCGGCTCCTCTGCTGGGGGAGCCGTGTGCCCCCACCTGGCTGCCTCAGTGTCACTCTCCACCCCCACCCCCGCTAGGATTGCGGGCTGGGGCTCAAGAGTTGACTGGCAGGCCTCGGCGTCTCCTGCAGGAACCCATGGCCAGAGGTTGGGGCTCAGGTCTGGTGGCCGGGCCACCGGGCAGTCAGGCGTCACAAAGCGGGTCCCCTGCATGGAAGGCCACGGGCTTTAGACACAAACCTCGATGCCACCTCTGGGCTACCTGCCCCGTGGTGTGACTGTGAGAAGGTGATGGGGCTTCTCCAGGAGGGGACCGGGCTGCCCTACGAGGGAACAAGCACCACTACGCCCTCACGGGTCCACTCGTTGGGAGTGCACCCTCACCCTGCCTGCTGCTTGGGGACGTCCAGGCCAGAGGTCCAAGGTCACACTGTATTCAACGCAGGGGCGCGCACGTAAAAGACTCAGAAAGCTGCTGCCCGGTGCACTAGTCCATGAAGCTCCTGGGGGCCAGGGGGTTCAAGAGGCCCCGAGAGGCTGGGCATGATGGCTCACGTCTGAAATCCCAGCTTCCACCAGGGAGGCTGAGGCAGGAGGATCATTGCAAGTTTGAGACCAGCCTGGGCTACAAAGTGAGGTCGAGGCCAGTCTGAACTGCAGAATAAGACCCTGTCTCAGAGACGAGGGGGGGATAAAAAAAAGCTGAGAAAGAGAAACTAAGATGGAGCCCAGCCCTGGGTCCTGGCCATGCTTCGCCCACGGCAGCTCGCAGGGAGAGGGCCCTTTTAAGGAAGCCCGGGACACCCAGGGGCAGCTTTCCACCACCCTCTGCACGCCAGTACGACCGCAGACAGCTGCGCGATGGCCAGGGCCCGATGCTGTGTCCCCCTCCCCCGGCACCAGTTGTTGACCAAAAATAAACACCATTCCTCAACCATATGTCCCGCGGCCCAAACCAGGGGAGGCAGCCGCCGTCCAGCGTGCGCAGCACTCAGCTTAAGCGCAAGCGCCCGCTATACCTCCTCTCCTTCCGGGACAAGGATAGCGGGAGGAGCCTTGCTGACACCTGCGCCCAGACCGGCGCCGGTTTGAATACTCTGTGCTCCAGCTCCGGCTGCACTTCCGCTCCCTCTTCGAGCTCCAGGACGATTTCCGGCCGCGCGCTGCAGGGCAGCACCGATGGACTCAAGCGCGCCCTCTAGCCGAGGCTCTACCGCTGGCACATGGGCCTGGCCAGTGACTTCCGCCCCAGGGTGTGCAACAGGTAGGCCGCCTGGCCCAGCAGGCTAGGGGTAGGGCTCCAGAGTCGCGAGGTGGGAGTCGGGGATGCGGAGGCTCTACCACAGGGCAAGCTCCTCTGGTGTGACTTCGGAGCTGCAGGGGCCTGGTCTAGGGGAGGACCCAGCTGGTGGACCTCACTGGCTCTCCGCAAGCCAACGCCCGCTGTGACAGAGGCCACAGGCCTGTGCTCCCATAGGGTTAGGCTGACTGCTGCATGAAGAACCTTGTTCCTGGGGCTCAGCCTTTACAGTCGGGCCCGGCTGGGTGGGTCACTCCAGGGAATGTAGCTGTCCACAGAGCAGGGCCAGCCGGTGCTCACCTGCAGGGCTGAGGCTGGGACACAGCTGCCCGGTAGTCTACAGAAGGCTTCACCCCTGTGCTGGGTACTGCAGTGTGCAGGAGCTGCACACCTGCTTTGGGCTTCATGGGAGGCTCCCAGTGTGGGCCATCTGTGTGCACCTCCTGTCCCTTAGGCCGCAGCCCCTCCCTGGCTCTTAAGTGCCCAGGCAACCGAGGTCCTGCCCCAGGAAAGCTGGGAGTCCACGCCTCAGCTGGGTCCACGCCTCAGCATCAAGGTAGGGTGCCTTCACCCCAGGCCCATAAATATGGGCGGTGGCGCTGGACACATGTCCCAGTGCTTTCCCTGGCCTGTGGCCTGCAAGCTTCCTCAAGCCCCTATAGATGGAACCACCACTCCAGGAGCCAGTGCCGTGATGTGATTGTGCTAGAAGCCGAGATCACAGCTGCAGGCTTCCTCTAGCAGAGGCCATGGACCCATAGGGCAGGACAAAGGCCACCTTGGCAGACACGTTGGACGCCACGCCTGGGGCAGATACCCGTCTGGGCCTTCAGTCCTCAGTGTCCTCAGACTTCCAGAGCCAGCAGAAGCAGTAGTACACTTGCAGCCAGGGGGCAGCGCATGAAAACACCCACAGGGGCAGACCGAGTCAGGCCTGCGAGGCCTGACCAGCTGAGTGCGTGCCTTTACCTTGAAGGCCCTGGCTCGTCCTGGAGACCCGATCCCATTGCTGCTGGGAAGATCAATTCACACTGTAGCTTACAAAGCCCTGGTTTTCTTTTATCTTTTCCTGTGGGAGAGACTTGGCTCGGACTCGGTGTGGGTGGAGGGGACAAGTCTCCGCAGCCTTATTTCTTTTCTGCTCTCACTGGATGGCGCCAGCCTCGAGGTGGCTCTCAGTGCCCTCTCCCTACAGTAGTGTCTCAGGCCCTGCACAGCTCCCCACACCAGTGCTGCAGGGGTTGGCAGCTCACTGACCCTCACGATACTGCTCATGGTGCACATGGTGAGCCCATAAGCCTCAGCCCTGACAAGTGCTGCAATGTCCCTGCTTGGTCGGCAGCATGTCTGCCCAGGGCTCCTCAGGCATGGTGCCTGTGAGGCTGGGCTGTGCTCCTTTCCTGGCCCAGGGCCAGACCTCTCTTCGAGGGGTTGTCCTGTGCTACCTGGGCAAAGCCACTCCTGGGGGCACAGCTGCCATAGAAACCAACAGAGCAGCTGCCCACACTGACTCCTGAATCTGCTTTATTTCTTTGCATAAGGAACTCTGCACAGGCAATTCAAATTAAAACAAAATAAATATATGAATATTCATGTAAAACTGTCCTTTCTAATGAACAATTATACACCATGTACAATTCTGTGTTCACTGGGTGAGTTTACAAAAATGTATCATTCCCAACTAAAAATGCACCAAAATGGTTCCATGCAAACTTATCAAAAGTGATCAAAAATATGAAGGGAAAAACCTGACTGAGAGCACTTTGCTTTTGTTTTTGTACAATCACAGAAAAATAAAAACATCTAGTTTCTGTTACCTGTAGAGTAACTAAGGTTCTGTTTATCATGTCGGTCTGTGGCCCTAACACATCTATGTAGTTATCAGGAGAGTACATCAATGCCACGGAATCCAGGC